CCCGACCGTAGCTGCTACCTTGACGTGGTGGTCGGGCTTTCCTATCGTGATGACCCAACCGAGCTATACTGGCTGGAAAATATGTTCCTCAAGGTTCTACCATGCCAGGCAGGTCGATTGGAGAACGATGAGACTAAAAGCAGCTACCCAAGGTCTGAGGGCGAAGTCGTACTGCTGACTGCAGAGGGGTGTGACAGCAGTAAGGTGTTTCCCTCGGACAACCAGCATCTGAAGCGATGCTGCCTTCTCACAAGGAAGGAAGGGTTAGAAAAGGTCGGCCCTAAAAATGCCACACCTCTCCTAACTCACGGATTTCCGTCTCCTTGGGTAAGGGTGCCCACTAAGGGCCTTTAAGAACGGAGCTAATCCTCAAAAAACATTTCATAAAAAGGCTGTGCGTGACCGGCCTCAAGCAGTTGTCCCTTGGACTCTGCGGTCACGCACCAACACTAATCCATCTTCCTTTTCAGGTCCCTCAAGAAACAACCTTCCACGGTGTGGGCAGCCGGGAAGTGACAACCGCCCTCATACCCGTAAGAGCACGCGAGACCAAATTGGTCAAAATCAAATCCTTCCTACCCCCCCTAGTACCTCTCTTATCTCCACGACTAACTCTTCTCACATTCATTCATCACAGTGCACAGCTAATGCAGACGATACGAGTTCGCGAAACGTCGTTCCTGGTCTCCTTAAACCTCGCTCTAGACTACATGTTGGAGCATTTAATGTACGGACATTGTGTCAAATAGGGCAACAACCTTCCTTAGCTAGGACTTTAGAATCTCGTGCAATCGATGTATGCTGCGTCTCGGAAACGCGCATACAGGATCCGAGTCGCGTCATACACTTGGCCACACCATGTCAAAATAAAGAAGCAGCTCGATATACTCTTCGTGTATCCGGTAGCCCTGATGCTGCTTCCAAGGGTCTTGCTGGCGTAGGCATGGCATTGAGTCGTAGGGCAGAACAATCTCTCCTTGACTGGATCCCTGTAGATAGTCGCCTGTGCGCCGTCCGACTAAACGGGACAGTAAGGACTCGGAAAGATAGGGACACTCGCTGTTGCCTCTTCATCGTATCTGCCTATGCCCCCACTGAATGCAGTTCAGACGAGGTTAAAGATGAGTTTTACAGAAAGCTTTCGGACCTCCTCCAAAAAGCTAGGCGCTCTGATATAGTAATAATGGCTGGTGACTTTAATGCTCAAGTAGGTAGACTAAGTGAGCAGGAGAGACACCTAGGTGGATGTTATGGTGTCCCAGCTCAGAGAACAGACACTGGTGACCGTCTGTTGCAAGCATGCTCAGACAACGGCCTATTCTTAGCAAACACTAACTTTCGGCATAAGGAAAAGCATCTGTTGACCTGGCGACCTCCAAAGTCGTCTCAACGTTGGACTCAATTAGATCACATCGCCATCAGCCACCGATGGAGGGGTTCGATAGAGGACTGTCGCTCGTTCTGGGGCACATGTTTGGATTCAGATCATGCCCTAGTGCGATTGCGTATTTGTTTGAAGCTTACTGGGCGTAGGAAAGACACCGTAAGAAAGCCTCTTAGGGTTTTACTTAATGATAATAAGGCGAAAAATATATTTCAGGAACAACTAGAAAGACAGTTAGGCGACCATTTAAGCGATTCCCATCCAGAAGCAAGTTGGTATGATATCAAAAAGGCTGTTGAAACAGCAGTGATATCTGCTAGTAAGGTAAACCATAAGGCTTGGATGAAGCCGTGGATATCAGTCGCATCTACCGAACTGATGGATGCTCGAAAACGCAGCCCACCTGACTCTGAGCATGATGAAGAGTGTAGTCAGCTTAGGCGCAGACTTATAAAACGTCTACGTAACGACCGAGAACAGTGGTGGGTGGCGAAAGCAAAAGCGATGGAAAAGGCAGCGGCGATCGGCAACAGTAGACAACTTTTCCGCCTTATTTAAGAAACTGGTATTAAGAACCCGAATGTGAGTGAGACTATCTCGTAAAAGGATGGTCTTATTATCCATTCTCAATCCAGGAGACTGGATCGATGGGCAGAACACTTTAGGGATCAGTTCAACTGGCCTCGAGCCACTCTTCGGTTACCCACGATCTCCAGTCATACTGAATGGCAAATCGACATAAGTCCCCCTAGGCTTAATGAAGTTGAAAAAGCGTTAGGAAATCTGAAGTGAGGACGAGCTGCAGGTCCTGATAGACTGACCCCTGAGATATTTAAGGATGGTGGTCCAGTTTTAGCAGCTAGATTGACTGAGATCTTAGGTAGAATCTGGGAACTGGACGTAATCCCATCCGACTGGTCTCAATCCTTGATTGTCCCAATCTATAAGAAAGGACAAAAGTCTTCTTGTGACAATCACAGGGGAATCAGTCTAACCAATATAGTATCTAAAATATTGGCCTCAGTAATACTTCGACGCTTGACGAAAGCTCGTGAAGAGCAGACTCGAGAAAACCAGGCTGGTTTTCGACCTGGACGTGGCTGTATAGACCACATTTTCACACTACGACAGGTCCTGGAACACAGACACACATTTAGGCGTCCTACAATAGTTGTCCTGGACCTTAAGGCGGCATTTGACTCAGTGGATCGTGAGGTTCTGTGGCAGTGTCTGTCATTGAAAGGTGTACCAAATAAGTACATTTACCTCATACAAGCTCTCTACTCAAACACCACTGGTCGAGTGAGAGCTTATGGCGAACTGTCACCGGAATTCTCTACATCAAGTGGTGTCCGTCAGGGATGTCCACTTTCTCCATTCTTGTTTAATTTTATCATAGACATGCTCCTAGAAATAACCTTATCCTCGTCTGAATTTTCAGGAGTAGACCTTTTACCCGGTGGCTCGCTTATTGACTTAGAATATGCCGATGACATAGTCCTACTTGGTGAAGACGCTGACAAAATGCAGAGTCTTCTGACTACCCTAAGCAACAATGCAAGCATGTTCGGGATGCGGTTTTCCCCCTCGAAATGCAAAATGTTGCTTCAAGATTGGGTTTCATCGGCACCTGAGCTAATGATAGGGAGTGAAGTGGTCGAACGTGTAGACCGCTTCACTTATCTTGGGAGTCTCATCAGTGCCGATGGCCTGGTGACTGACGAAATCTCGGCACGGATACAGAAGGCTCGATTGGCTTTTGCCAACCTGCGTCACTTATGGCGTAGGCGAGATATCCGTTTGCTGACTAAAGGACGTGTGTACTGCGCAGTAGTTCGCTCCGTCTTACTTTTTGGCTGTGAAACATGGCCAATGAGAGTAGAAGATATTCGCAGGTTACTGGTTTTCGATCATAGGTGTCTGCGAAGCATCGCTCGTATATTGTGGGACACCCGAGTGAGCAACGCTGTTATTAGGAATCGGGTACTAGGTAAGAATGGCAGATCAATCGGTGAAGTGGTGAAACTTCATCAGTTGAGGTGGTTGGGACATGTCTTGCGTATGCCTAACCACCGACTGCATCGACGAACTTTGTTTTGTGGTGTAGGAGTAGGTTGGAAGAAAGCTAGGGGCGGCCAGACCAAAACATGGCAGAAATCCATGAAGTCATTGACAGGTGGACTGAGCCATGTCGGTAATTGTCGACTACCTGGTTGGGGTCCGCGAGATGATAATAATCGATGGTTAGAGACCTTGAATGACATGGCTCAGAATCGTTCGCGATGGCGCCGGTGCATTTATTCTTTGTGTTCTCTCAAATCCTAATCTTCTGGATTCTTCAACACCTCTAGTCTTTACTTTCTAAACTTATCTCACTGAATCATACTTCGTGAATAATATCTTCTAATCCTAACCTCTCCGATTACTTCTAATACCTTTACTACCTCTTCTACTATTGGATTTGAATTGACAATTATATCTCTGTGCTGATGTGGTATGGCGACATGAACTGATGTACTTACGTAGGAAGTTCTACGTTGCAACTGACTGACTGACTGACTGACTGTTTGCTAGTTTATTATATAACTAATAATGCCAACAGTAACAGATATTATGTGATCTTTGGAAAATCTGCTTTCAAATTACATGACATTTTGTACTCTGTCTACTTCATATATATATATACAGACATTATGTGGCCATGTTCGTGCTGAAGCGTACTCGTACTTCCAAAAGAACTTTCATCATTTCCTCTCTGAATACAGGTAATGTGAATAATATCTCATATTTAAAATGAAATTATTTTAATACTTTTGATGAGAAGTGATAACCGAAATAGTTGCAGCACTAAAAAGATAACGTAAAAAAAACTAAAAATAAATGTATTGTGATCGTTCCTGTGTTTTTTTTTTATCTTCCAGGGTAGTTGGAGCTTTGTTAAATAGTGAAGAATTTGCTACAGCCTATAACTGTCCCACTGATTCCCCGATGAATCCTTCAAAGAAATGTAAGCTTTGGTGAAAAAATGTGTTAGAAATATCAACATTAAATTGCGTTGATGCAAGCAAGAACCTAACCCTACATAACTTCTGTCTTTTTTAAACACTGTAGCTTAGGTTCAACTGTTAAAGTTACCAAAAAAATTAACCAACCTTAATGATTGTATTGAATGGTAATAAAATACATAGTATTTTAAAAGAGTAACTCGTTTTTGTTCTTTTGAATATTTTACTTCACTTTTATGTCATCTAAACCTGTTGATAACCATTGTTGATAATCTCAAAGTCAGCAAGTACTTTAGCATTTATAGAAGCGTCACTTATAGGTAAAACACTTTTAAAGTAATCTTGGTCATCGAATAATGTTTTAGAAAATGTTAAATCAACAATCCATGTCAATGCTTATCTATAGAACACGTATTCTAGTTCAGAATCTCAATAAAACGCATCACAGATGATGTTTGCATGTGTTGCAAGCTCAACATAACATGAAGCGTTTGATCCTGAAAAGAGTAACATCTAGTATTCTAATTACTTTCCGCCATATCATGACATTTTGATTCAAAGTACTTATTCGGTGTTATCATTCAACTTTATACCGGTCAATGGATTCAGATAGCAGACGAAGAAAATATTTCCACCCTAGGAGAGCTACTGTATGAGTTTCAAAGTGATGGAACACACGAAATCTCAATGAAAAAATTGTATACAATCGATACAATATAAGATGAAAACGATCAGAATTGTGAGAATATTATGAGCAAGATAGGAGTAGGCGAGAACTAATATTCAAGTAAACAAGTTTGTGTGTTTGGCTGGGATTCTACTTTGATGCCCCAATCAGGGCAGGTCGCCTTCTTTGATGACCATTCCCTGAGCGTTTGACTCACTAATTTAACCGAGTAGATAGTGGAACAGTAATAGAATATGCAGCCCCTTATTGAAAAGTGATGGAGTAGACTCATACTCTCTCAATATCCTGGATTTTCTGTCCATAGGTGGTTTGAAATATTGTCGTTTTGAGATATCCTGAAGGACCCTCCGTACTTCCAACCATATTCATCCCCTCGAATAAATAAACTATGCGTCGGCTGATAGAAAGGAGTAAGGATAACCTCTTTGATAGTGACTTCATATCAAGTGAAGGGGATCATTCTCTTCAAACTCGGTGATACCAGAGAATTTCCTGGATTGTATATCTGAACTATACTAACGGATGAATAACAGTATTTCATGAGACAGAAGATAAGAAGTTGCTGATGTTAGAGGTCAATGAATTAAGGTGTGTTTCATAGCTGTTTCAAATGCGACCACGATCTCATTTACGGATGCTTAATACTTTCTAAATCTAACTAGTGAATCGATCGAGTGTTGCTATCGCGAAGTAGATTTTCGAAAATTGCTTCCACAAGATATGGCATTCCTTCGAATTTCTTTTATGTGGTGGTTATATATTTCAATAAAATGTCTATATTAATGAGTATAATCCGGATACTCTTTACATTGTGATAATCAGTTCACAAAAGATTCCTTAGACTCCATATCAAAGAAAAAAGTGACAGTAGACTTTCTGGTCATTATGTTTATTTGAAATATCATTTATCAATCAAGACTTTCAGTAGATGTGACAATTTAGGAATCTCTACTTAACTATCAGTATCACAGTAATGCAAACAACCCAAATTAAATGTGAGCAAACTCCAGTGTATGCGGAGGTATTATAGTAATTCACCCCACTCTACAAACAAGAATATAAAAGTGTCTGTGTTCGAAAAATACATTGAATTTAACAGAACGGAAAGTAATGAAATTTTCGAAATAAGAATGTAAGATAGAGCTATAGTTTTAGTTATTACAAATATGTGTAGGCTTAACTTTGTATACATTCATGAGGCCATATAAGAGAATAATGAAAGATCGAGAGAATACAGTGATGTTTTTATTAGTTTAAATACCTTGACATTAGGATATACAAAATCTGTCGAATATAATAGTAGATAAGTTAAAAATTTTTGATGTGTTCCATTCAAAA